AACTTTTGTGAGATGCTGGCTTCTTGTGCATCCATCTTTTGTGAGATGCTGGCGATACTTGCGTTCATTTTTGTGTCCTGTGCATCCAACTTTTGTGAAATGCTGTCTTCTTGTGCATCCATTTTTTGTGAGATCGCAGTCAATAACAGGTTCATGTCAATACCTTTAGATGAGCCAGGAGCCTTTTCTTGAATCTTACTTGATGGTGATTCTAACTCCTTCACAGAATCATCAGCATCTTCCTTGTCAATGTCCTTCAAGGATGCATCTTCATCCCCGCGGTGGAACTCGTACTGGTTCAAGTCGATGCCTTCAAATTCCATTGCTTCTCGCAATCTCGATTGCAGCTCTGCCTTATTTCCAGTAGTCGACAATTTTCGCTTTGCCAACTCCCTCTTGAGAGGAGGTATCGTTAAGTCCTGATTCTTCACCATTCTGCAAATATTATCCTTTGGGATTTATTTAACAATCCCACTTCTGACACCAATTGTTACGATTTTACTAAATCAACCTCGATTAATTTCCGAATCCTTCGGGTACGATCTCTGGATTGTTAAGTAAAACTCGCCAATTTAATTTGCAGTTTCTTTCGTTATAAAGATTTTATCTAATGTCCTTTATTTACTCAGTGATTCACAATTCAATTACAAGACACTTTACAAGCTACAATCACTTGCATGAACTTTCACAATGTACTCTACTTAAATGTAATTCCCAACGTGTTCACTTTACGTCTTCACTGATGTTAACGCTACCGAGTTTACTTTATCACTAACTTGACTTGCAGCTGAGTGTCGCCTTTATATAGCAGTCGGCTGCTCGCAGACGAAAGCGTAGAAGCATCGAATTGTTCGCTATGGAAGGTTCTTGTGTTATCGGCTTCTCTCTTTCATCTGACATTCGCCTCGCATTTTCGCAACAATATATTCAAAATCAACCGCTTTCTCGTGAGGAGAAAATGCAGCAGATTATTTTCTAGTTGAACCCTTTCCAAGAGAAGTTTTCGAGACGTGTCTGCTGAAGGAGTACAAATTTATTGCAATTTAATTAATTTGTCTTAATACGGAAAAAGATTTTTCAGATTTTAGGTCATTAATTTAGCAAAAAGAAATATATATTGGTTTTCAGCATACACATGATTAATGACACATTTTTGATATCATATGACTGTGACATAAGGCTCTCATACAATATCCAGTCAAAAGTAACAGATTGCGCCCAGCCAACATTCACGGCGGCGACGCAAGAAAGTTACCCTACTTAAATGAACCAAATACGAAATAACGACAAGCACGACTTACGAATATCTGAAAATCTGAGTGGTGAAACGGTTTCCTCAAAGTTCTGTCTTGTCACCAATTGAGAATTCTTGGGCAATCCTATAGATGCGTGAAGCTGAAGAGATGGACTGAGACTGTAACACTTGGACAAATTTTCCTTAATCGGCTCAAGTGTCGCAATCAAACCAAGCAGTCAATGGTAGATATTGTAGAATTGAGTGCTAACTTCTTTGAAGGCTGAAATTTAATAAAAATGTAAGTCATGAACAGTGGACCGGTATTGCCCGAAATACGAGCTCTCCGATTTTCATTTTCACCGTTCAAAA